GCAACGAAAGTATTTTTCTGAAAATTAGAGACTATCTGGACCAACAATTCGCTGAGAGTTTGGTGACAAATTCCTAAAGAACTTTTCGAACATTAGCAGTAATTGGTTTTACTGCAGTCCGCTGAGCGATTGCGATCGACAGCAAACTGCCTACTTTCGATGCCTCGCCCAGCTATAACCATGTCACGGATACAAATGACGGATATTTAACTTCTTGGAGCGTCTTTAAAGGTGACCCAGACGATGAACACATGTAGTGCAGCACGAAACGTCAGAGTTAAAAAATATTTGGATTCCATTTGCGCCGCTAAGCATGGAACCGGAAAGATTTTTGCAAGTACTATCATTATATCGACTTTTAATTGGCAACAGCTTCATACGTTCATTCTTATCGATGATATAACTGCAGGTCACAAATAAGCGACACATTTGCCCTGCTTGTGCCTTTTAATACAATCTTTCTCCAACAAAATAAAACTCAAACTTTGTTGTATCATTAGTTTTAAAGTATTTTCAGGAGCAAGTTGAAGCCGAATGAACGAATAGATGAAAACAACGAACCTTTACAACGTCGACTTTAGCCAGGGCGTCATCGTCCATTGCCACTTGAACATTTTCTGCAAGCACCGACGGCGTTAACGAAGGTTGCAAAATACCGCCCCACCATTCAGCCACGCGATCACAACTTATCTGACAAAACAATCACAATAAAATATGACCACAGGTTCAAAAGCTATAGACCTCCAGACCTCGTCAAGCGAAGAGTGCAGCAACGACTCCAACAATATGGTGTTACTTATAAGCACGGATACCGAATGATCGTCCAGTCCAACTCGAATTAACGGTATTATAGAGCTGTTGATAAGCGACTGGATTAATGGCATATCGAAACAACTGTCGTAAATTCCCAATTTTGCCTTAAACAATTACGACAGCCTTGACGTTCAGTGGCGGGAGAAAAAACAAAAGAATGCACCAAAGTGAGTATTTTCGCAAGAGTATTGCAAGCTATGGTTCGTTGACCTACGTTCTCAGAACGACACATCAGCATCAGCTCATCCGTCGTGTAACCCGCTAACTAAAAGAAGATTAATTCTGAAACGTCGAAAAAAATGATAAAGACGTATTTCCTACTGCTGGCTCTTCGCCATGATGGTGCAAACCCTGATAAACCGGAATCACTGAATTTGGACTCAACAAGTGCCCTCCGAAATCAAACCGAGCAGTCTTTGACACCTGCAAACAAACAAAATGATCAGAGTGAACGACACAAGTAAGTGGTAACAGCTAGTGCGTGTATTCTACTTGTTGATAAAAGCAAGAACCGTAATTTAACATTACCAGCTGATAGAGCGCCTTACGTTTCACATGTAGCAGAAAAACGCTCTCAGCCTCACTTTCTAATCAAACGAATCGCCTTGCATTCTAAAACACTATCTTCATCATCTTCCATCGCCGCTTCTCTTTTCGGGTCGCGGAGGCAGACGCGTCAGAAGACAGTGCTTCCAACATTCCCGATTCTGTGCCAGAGTCTGAGCTTCGACAAAAAACAAATGCAGTCTGGAACAAACTCCTTCTATATGTTTGCACCACCGGCTAATCTTGGCCGTCCCCGGGGCCTTTTGCAGGTCA